CTACTAGATGTTTAATATCCCAACCAGTGGTAAAGTCAAAAAAACGTTCTTTGTAGCATCAGCTTTATTCTTGGGCTCATTCATGCTTATGCTATACCTCCCAGAGCCCCAGCAATCTTGAGCTGGTTTCATGGTGTTGTTTTGTTTGGCATTTCATTGTTCTTAGCTTTCTGTTTGTTTGTTGTCTGCCAGGTGTTTAATGAATTCCCATCCATGGTAGCATAGAGTTACACCCACTCCTCATCAAGATCATTGACACACCTCAGTTCCAGAGACTTCGATTCATAAAGCAGCTTGGAGGTGTCTACTTTGTTTACCTGGAGCGTCTCACAACCGCTTTGAACACTCGATCGGTAAGTCAGCAAGTTTTCAGATTTCAGCCCACAGGTGACCTCAGTCCAAATAAGGAGAAGACTCATGGTGGTTTTCACATAAGCACCTTGTAAAACCAATAAAGGCAGAAAACAGTGCCTGTCTTAGTATGGATCGAATAAAAAATATATATATATATTAATTGTGATAACTGCGTTATAATTAAAAAATGTTTTCTGTGGTCTAAAAAGGGTGGGATACTTAGCAGGAAAACTTGCTGAGGCTCTCAGGTCAAGGCAGCCGGAACTCAACATCACTGACAGAGACGTCCTTTGTGTTCAGATTGCTGGCCTCTGTCATGACCTGGGTGAGTAATGCATCCCTTTTCAATATTACATATAATAGTTTATAAATTATGTTATTGGGTATGAAAAGAGTAAAATGAAAGTGAAATGATCCAGAAATAACCCTTCCATCTTTCAAAAAAGCAAGGGCTTCTGCATTAATAAATAAAAAATACGAGGGTGGGGTGAGGTGGTGGTAGCTCGGTCTGTAAAGGGACTCTGATAAGAACTGGAGGGTCTGAATCTTTAAAAATAATATTTAGACTCAGAAAAAAATGTTTAACCCAGAGGGCATTTCGTTTCCACAGTCCAACCAGACCATGCATACATTTACAAACACATAACAGTCTTTCTTGTAAGCAATATTCTCAAGTTTAGATTCAGGAGTAATCCATCCTCAACTCAAACAGGTTTATTAAGACATACTGACTGTATAATCTGTACACTATCAGTGGATTACGCCTGTATTTATCTATCCATTTCAAGGTCATGGACCCTTTTCCCATCTGTATGATGGATGTTCCTCCCCAAAGCACTGGAAAAAAAGAGAAATTAAAGAAATGGAAGGTAAAAAGTTTTTATTTCTGTTGTAATATAACAAATGAAATACAGAGGAACGGCAAAACTGAAGCACATGTACCTTTCACACTGGCTTGTTCTTTTGAAACAAAATCCAGGATGTTCTTTTTTGTTTGCTTTTTCAGGTGTAATGGGATTATGCACATTTCCAAGAATGTTGATCTATTTCTTTAATAACAATGAACTTTGTAGCTTGTGTTGCTAAATGACCCATATCCTGTTCTCTTTGGTAATAATATGTCAACTTTTTATCTGACATGTTACCGCTTTTCAGAAGCTCCATGAGATTTTAATAATGTTTCTGTTTTAACCATTAATCCTGGTGATTCAGAGATTTAGATACAACAAACAAAGATCATAATTGAATTCATGGTTCATGAGAGGTAATTCTTTATGACAGGGAACTCTTTTAAAAGCAGAAGGGATTTCTAGATCTGTTTATGTCTCTTTGTCACTCAATAAGAGAAGATAACCTTTATTCATCCTACAACAGGCAGCAAAGAGCAAGGATAGCCAAAAAAGAGTACACAGTGCACCATTCAATAACTTTAGATCAAAAGAGTGCGATTGTTGTGTTTACATCCAAACAAACCGGGCTAAAGGGGAAACGCCCCTTTGTTTCAGAACAACTTTTCCAAAATATCCAGGTTGTGAAAAAACTGAGCCATTATCACCTTCCCAAAAACTCTTATGCTTAACAGTTTGACATCGGGTTGAGTTCAGCTAGCTAAATAACCCTGATAAAGACTGTTGATGTTGCATACAGTATATTGGCTGACATTAAGTGGCTCGTCAAATTCTGAAGCGCTTTAGGAACTCTGACATTGTAAGTTGTTTTACATACTGTACGTTTGAGATATACTCTTCAAATGTGGGGAAATTAAAGTATGTGGGATTATATTTATGTTTTAAATCTTGTGTTGACACATTTATGAGTCTGTGTGTCTGCAGCATGAAAGGGCTCTCGTCTCATGCTAGACCACCTGGTGGAACAGAATAATTTTAAACCAACGATGAAAAAGTATGGACTGAAACCTGAAGAAGACATAACATTCATTAAGGAGATGATTGCTGGACCTCTACAGGAATCTAAAGAGCAGGAGGCAAGTTCACCTCATTATGTTTTTCAGAAGTCGGATAAGATACTGTATGAATATAAGATAAGAGAAGATAAAACTTTATTCATCCTACAACGGGCAGCAAAGAGCAAAGATAGCCAAAAAGAGCACACAGTGCACCATTCAAGAAAAAATAGATAAAAAAAGTTGAGCAGCTAAAAGAGTGTGATTGCTGTGTTCACATATTTATCAAACAAACTGGGCTATGGTTTCAGAACAACTTTTCCAAACTATCCAGGTGTGAAAAAATCCTTAGAGAGAAAACTGAGCTGCAGTATCACCTTCCCAAAAACTCTTATCCTTAACAGTTTGACTCTGGGTTGAGTTCAGCTAGCTAAATAACCCTGATAAAGACTGTTAGGATGTTGTATACAGTATATGTCCACAGAAGATTGGCTGACATTAAGTCACTCATCGAATTCTGAGGAACTCTGACATTTAAAGTGTTTCTTTCATACACACGTTTTGAGATCTACTCTGCAAATGTTGGTTGTGCTATTTGTGTAGTTCCTTGTCTTCTTGCAATATTTTTCATGATTTGATGAAAGCGAAGCATGGATTGAACCCTGAACATGTGACAAAACATTAAGGTGATGATTGCTGAAGACCAGAAGGCAAGTTCTCATCTGTGCATAAATCAGTCTGTGTCCTACAGCAATGCCACTAATGTCACTATTTTGTAACATTCAGTATAAAGGCGGACAAGAAGAGTCCTTTTTGTTTTAATCGTTAAAAAAAGTTTTTCTTCTGACTAGAACTCAGATCTTAAAATTGAACAGTTGTTTTGTTTGTCATGCTTTTTCATGTACATAGTTTATTGTGTTCATATTTTAGCTTTATCTCTGTTTTGTGGAATGGTCCTACATATTTTTTCTATGCAGTGTAAATTCATTGACAACAACATACGTGTCAATAAAACTGGTCCTGATTCGCTTTGTGTCGTCATCCCTGCAGTGGCCGTACAAAGGGCGCTTCAAAAGAATGGTCCTTCCTCTATGAAATTGTGTCCAACAAAAAAAACGGCGTTGATGTGGACAAGTTTGACTACTTGGCCAGGTCAGGTTTTAATGAAGTGCTGTAGAGCAATTCATTTGTGATGAAGACCACTACAGCACTTCTTTTTTTTTTACCGTGAACAATGCATTATTCTCCTGATTATTTTAAATTATAGGCTACAAAACTCTCCAGTAAATTCAGTTTCCCTCTATACACCTATTTTCTTCACCTTGCCTCAATCTGCCTCTACTCAGGGACTCTTCCTACCTGGGGACCATGAACAACTTTGACTTTCGTCGCTTCCTGCAGTTTGCCAGAGTGTGTGAGGTTGAAGACAAAGACTGCAAAGAAGGAAAAAGGAAAACTATCTGCACCAGAGACAAGGTGCTGACACACTTGAGCTTGTAAAGATAATTAAAGCAAACTGATAATGTTGTTATTTATGACTAAACTACAGTCCTAACCTCAACAGAAGGAAGACCATATGTACGACTTGTTCTATATAAGACACTGTCTCCACAAAAGAGCCTGTCAGCACAAAGTAAACCAAATCATACAAGAAATGTAAGTGTCTACCTTCAGAAGTTATTACTCCAAATATAAGATTGGTCTCCTTCTGATTTCCATTATTTGATCTGTGTCATGATTCACTATCTCATCAGTAATAATATGTTTGATATGAACATACAGGATTGCAGAGGCTTTTTTGAAAGCAGACGGTCACATCAGATTGAAGGATCAGGAGGGAGGATGTTCACTCTCTCTACAGCCAATGAGGACATGGAGGCCTACACAAAGCTCACAGGTGTGTAGATTTAAATGTGTGCTGTTAGCTCATGTTTAACATTGAACCAATTCAGACTACAGGAGTATCAAGACATTGTTTAAATAATGCACTACACCCAACAATCTGAAAAGGAAATTGTGTGTAGGCACTTGGTCAGTTTGATGTTTGGCCAAGGACAAGGTTATCTGGTAGTTTGAGGAGTTCACAAATCCAGTCTCAAACAACCTGAACAACTGGCTGTCCTGATCATTTGAACTTGTTTGATATTTAGGATGTTTATTTATGAAGTAACAGAAATATGATATATTTCAACACTTTTTGGAAACACACTTTGTTAGATGCTGCTTTCTGTCAGATGGCTCTGTTGCTAGGTCATTTACAGTTATGCTACTTTATCCATTTTTTTTATCGTGCATTTGTTAAAGATAAATAAACCAGATCCTGTTAATTTAGTTGTGATGACTTATAAATAACATGCCATGTCTTACAATTTATTGCGTGTGTTTAAATTAAATTCACTAATTTTTGTGTGTGTTATTATCATTTGTTTGCTTGTTACTCTGTTACTCTTTTAGACAACGTGTTTGAGGAAATACTGAAGTCTTCCTGCTCAGAGCTAAAAAGGCAAGAGAGATTCTGCAAAACATCATCTCTCGAAAGATCTACAAGTTTGTTGGTGAGACAAGCCGAAGGTCCCCATCCAGGATTGGGAAGTAAGTCTGTGTTCTTGTGTTTCATTACATTTATAACACATGATCTAATGCACTGTTATCACAAAGCTGGATAATTTCATTTTCAGTTAATAGAATAAGTACACATCACATTATTTACTGTCTCCAGCATTTTATCTTGCCCGTGTTGTTATTACATTTAACATGAACAGCAACACTATTGAACAGTTCTCTTTTTGAAATGCAATGTGAATTGGATAGCAGCTTGAAATGTCTTACAATACAAAATCCCTCGTCAACTAATGCTGCATGATATTGGGGAAACTGCGATAACCTTTGAGGTTCATACAATTACAATTTGTATTATCATTTGGGCCTTCAATTCTATTTTCTTTTTCAAATAAAACCCCTTATATGTTCAAAGTGACTTTTAATTTGCATCAAGAGCCCTGTGACAGTAAAGAACAGTTCATCGTCACACACTGCATGTGATCCCTTAACTCTACATCTTATGTGCACATAGACTCTGCCTGCACAGAAGTCACTTCTCTTTGTGATCAGGAAGAGGATCAGACAGACTGATGTTGTAGATCAGTCATGGAAAGAGAGAAACTGAAGGCTTTTTGTTTATTCAAAAGCAAAAATAACAAAAAATGGCATGAAATGATGCATTTCAGGACATATGATTGATATTATATATTCTGTAATGTTATCATAGCACTTGTACACATAGCAAAAATGATGCTTAAATCCTACCATGCAGCCCTACAGTCAAAAATATCTACACTAAGTTGGTGCAGTTTTTTGAGTGAATGTGAAATGAATTCCAAGTTGCTTACATTGTCAACTTAAAATGCAAAAAACCTTTTCTATCATTTCGCACTCTTCTCAACTTTTCTGCTCCATTTTCAAGAGCCTGATTCCTAGCTGGAAAAAAGGACTGGCTGAGGGAGAAAGAAACCTGACACCAAAGGACTTTGAAATCCTGGTGAGTTTTTTTGACTTTCTTTCATTTCACCTTTTTGTAAAATCTTGGGTTTTGCAGATTTTTTGATTTGTAAGATGTTGCAAAATTTGTTACTGCAGATATACTTTTACTCTCAACCTTCATTTTAGGTCATTGAAATGGACTATGGCATGGACGACAAGGACCCTATCCAACATGTTCATTTCTACAGCAAATCTGAGCTTGACAAGGCAAAGCCAATGCCCGAAGAAAAGGTAAGAACTAAATATTGATTAAAACATTTTTTATCGCAATATTTCTTCTGTTTATTGGGCTCCATTGTTTACACCCGTGAACAGCTGGTTGCGCTGTGCCAGCCTCGGTTACATCCAGCCGAAAGACCGGACATCCCGCAGAACTACGGAGGAAGAGAAGGGGATGCAGAGCCGGAGTGAAGTGCCGGGAAAAGAAAAGACGGTACAAACCATCCGTGCCGTCTTTAATTATGGGGAATGTAAGATCTCTCCCTAATAAGATGGAGGAGCTGACGGCGCTCACCCGGCTTCAGAGGGAGTACCGAGAGTGTAGCATCATGCAGTTCACGGAGACATGGCTGAATGAACTCACTCCGGACACGCTCGTAACTTTGGACGGCTTCCACCTCGTCAGAGCGGACCGGAGCGCGAGGGAGAGCGGTAAGAAGAAAGGCGGGGGAATAGCGATGTATGTGAATGAGAGATGGTGTAACTCTGGGCACATCACCGTTAAAGAACAGCGCTGCACTAAGGATGTGGAGCTGCTGGCTGTAAGCATTCGGCCATATTACCTGCCGAGGGAGTTTTCACACGTCATCGCGGTGACTGTTTACATCCCCCCCTCGGCAGACGCTGCTGCAGCCTGTGAACTCATCCACAGTGTAGTGTCTCAGCTACAGACATCACACCCCCAGTCTCTTACTCTCATCTCAGGAGACTTTAACCACGTTTCCCTGTCTGCCACTCTCCCTACTTTCACTCAGTATGTTGACTGCCATACTAGGGACAATAAAACTTTGGACTTACTGTATGCAAACACCAAGGCTGCATACAGATCATCACCCCTCCCCCTCTGGGCCGCTCAGACCACAACCTGGTGAGACTGCAGCCATTTACATACCTATGGTGAAAAAACAACCCCCCACAACCAGGTATGTGAAGAAGTGGTCTAAGGAGGCCACTGAGGCGCTGCAGGACTGCTTCGACACCACTGACTGGGAGGTGCTGTGCAGCCCACATGGGGAGGACATCGACGGTTTAACCCACTGCATCACAGATTACATAAACTTCTGTGTTGAGAACACTGTACCCACCAAAAAAATACAGTGTTTCTCCAACAACAAACCCTGGGTGACCCCTGAGCTGAAAACCCTGCTCAATGAAAAGAGAAGGGTTTTTAGATCTGGAGATAGAGAGGAGCTGAGGAGGGTGCAAAAGGATAGCTCAAGATAAAATCAAGGAGGGAAAGCCAGCTATCGGGAAAAGATGGAGGAAGATTTACAACATAAAAATGCAAGAGAAGTCTGGAGGGGCCTGAATAACATCTCAGGTCACAGCAGAAGGCGTGGGAGGGGCCCTGAAGCAGGAGACAGGGAGTGGGCAAATGAACAGAATCTGTTCTTCAATAGATTTGATTCTGCTCCCAACCCACCCCCACCCACCAGAGCGCAGACCAGCCCGCTTCTCCATCTGAGTACCCTGAGTACCCTGCCACCCCCTCAACAGCCCTCTCCTTCTCCTCCTCCTCAGACGACCCCCAACAACCCCCTCCTCTTCTTCATCCTCCTCCTCCGACGGCCTCTCCATAACAGCTGATCAGGTGAGAAGCCAGCTGAGGAAGATCAAGGCGAGGAAGGCCACAGGTCCCGACGGCATCAGCTCCAGACTCCTGAAGGACTGTGCAGACCAGCTCTGTGAGGTCCTTCTGCACATCTTCAACCTGAGCCTGAGACTGGAGAGGGTACCGACTCTGTGGAAGACTTCCTGCGTGGTGCCAGTCCCAAAGACATCTCACCTCAGGGAGCCTAACCACTTCAGACCTGTGCCCTCACCTCTCACCTGATGAAGACCATGGAGAGGATCGTCCTCAACAACCTCCGCCCCCTGATGACTTCAAATCTGGATCCTCTGCAGTTCGCCTACCAGCCGAACATCGGGGCGGATAACGCCGTCATCTACCTGCTGCAGAGATCCTGGACTCACCTGTAGAACACCGGCAGCACTGTGAGGGTCATGTTCTTTGACTTCTCCAGTGCCTTCATCACCATCCAGCCTGCACTGCTCAGGGGGAAGCTAGAGAGGGCGGGAGTGGACTGTCACCTGGCTGCATGGACAACGGACTACCACCCTGCAAGACAGAGCGCACCGCAGGTCGTTCATCCCATCTGCAGTCAGACTGTTCTCAGACTCTTTAACAACATCACCACCTCATGCTACACACTGTGTGTGTGTTTTTTTAAGAGCAATCCCTTAATTACTGTGTAATTTTACATTATTGTATTTTTTATTTTATTTAAATGATGTAAATATGTTTGATTTGATTTTAACTTCTAGTTTTATTTTTAATAAGTATATTCCCGTCCCCTGTTTTCTGGAGCTGCTGTAATGCACAAATTTCCCCACAGGGATCAATAAAGTTTATCTTATCTTTATCTTAAATTATTTGTAAGGCAGCTTATGTCACCACAACTCTCAAATTAAAGCTGCTGTCCTTCTTTACAGGGATCCAGGATTCACACAACGTGCTTTTCTGAGCAGCTGATCAGGGTCTTCTGTAAGGAGATTGATGACGAGAGTGTGGAGGCTGCCAAAAAGCACTTTAAACAGTGGTACTATGATTTTCTAATCCTTTGATAATAGTTGAATCTTAAGATGTTAAAGGATACAATACATATCGACTAACTTGCTGTTGATTGAACATAAAACATCAAATATAAATTCAGACCAGTTGACTTGGCTAAAGTAAATAGAAAACAGTCAACATTGAGTACAGTTTATTTAACATGGTTGAACATGTGATCTACAGTCTCAAACAGACTTTTTTGAATGGGTGTGTATGTGGCTTCCAGTGTTTCTCTAGCCAGCTTCAGGTGGGGTCTCCCCAAGAAAATGTTAAGCACCAAACATTTATTTTCCTGCATTCTCATCCTGATTTTGTCTCGTTTAAAGAAATGGAATAAAGATGTGCGCACGAGAGAGAGAGAAAGAGAGAGAGAGTAAAAGCAGATATGCCTTGCTGATGGAAATAATTGATGGACCTCAGCCCCTTGTTTTGTCTCGCAGAATTTATGAAACCTTGCCAACAGTTTGCTAGTCCGTAGCCACGCTTTACAAGTCCATTGTACTGATTAGCAGACAGCATTTGATTTTTTTTAACTGAGCCTTCATGGGCTCTGTGCAACACAACAAAACTCCCTCTTTAAAAAGTTGATCTAGCATCTCAGTTATTACAACAGGTGAGCATGATGTGAAGGCCTGTTATCAAGATTCAGCAAAACCAAGAGAGAGCATCATCACATCGGCAGCAAGCAGCTTCACAAACATAATAAAACTAAGTCATGAGAAGCTTCTTCAGTTTTGACATGTCAGGAGGGCTGGACCTCAGGTGCATTAACAGGAGGGAGGAACAAACAGCAGCCCTCTTTGTCTCTCTCTCTCTCTCGTGCGGACGGCAATTTTATGAATAATTAAAACATATAGTTTTAAAATATAGGCTACTTGGGCAGCTATACATGTACCTGGGCAGCCCGAGTATTGTCTGTGTGGGAAATACTGACGCGAGTGCAGCGTAAGTGCAGTTTGTGAAGGAAAAAGGAGCAAGAGAATCGGCATCACGCAGACATGACATCGCAACTATGTGAGAATCGAGACTGGATTCTTTCTGACCTGAGGGATCTTTTTTTGTTTTGTTGTGCTTCAGTTTGCACATGTCTTGGCTCCAAAAGAAGTCACCAGCACAAAATGTTGGCCGGTATTTTGTCTTTGCTCTTATACAACAGACCAAAACTCATTGTCCATATTAATATATGCAGTTTGTGGTTTTATGACATTGAAAGGCTGTTTTAATATATGAGCATTAGAATGGAGCAATGAGCAGGAGGGAATGATTGCATTGAACTTCAGGATACTGTTGCCTTTTCTTTGCTTTTATATGATTTTGATCCCTTTTTTGATGCCAAATTAATGTTGTGTCTTCAAACTTTTGTATTTTAGTACCAAAAGACAAAAACTTTGAAAATATTTTTTTTTACTTAAGATTTTAAAAAACTGAAAATCCTCACCAGTAAGATGATGGATCTGCATGATGAGTGCATTGTTTTGCTTTAAAATAAGTTGAATGAGAGATCGTTTGTTAAATAGAATCATTTCTGCCTCAAACATTAGCTGTGCTCAGCCTTCAGTCTTCCTTTCAGGTTAAGGTGCTGGTTAAGCTCTACTCTAATTCTGCAAAACATTGTCTCTGGAAATATCTACAAGTTTGTTGGTGAGAGAAAGCCAGCGGACCCCATCGAGGATTGGGAAGTAAGTCTGTGTTCTTGTGTTTCATTACATTTATAACACATGATCTAATCACCTTAACCTAGTTATGAAAAGGTTGTTGCTAACTGTAGCCCATCTTAATATTGAAAATCTACTGCACCCTATGCAATTTGGGTTTCGAGCAAACCATTCCACTGAAATGGCATGTTGCTACTTCCTTGAAGTCATTAAAGGTAGCCTTGATAAAGGAGGGTGGTGGGTGCTGTATTTCTTGACCTGCGCAAGGCTTTCGATACAGTTAATCATTCAGTACACATCTCCAAATTGTCTAAATTTAAACTCTCTGCTAACGTTGTTAATTGGATTCAGTCTTACCTACTTGTCGCTCCCAGTGCGTACGGATAAATGATAAAATATCATCACTAAAAGCCTGCGTTAGGATGCCACAAGGTTCCATCTTAGGCCGTTGTGTTTAGTGCATACATCAATGATCTCCCATCTGTGTGATGATGTGGGGACCTTGATGTATGCAGACGACACGGTCCTAT